CTGCCACAGCCAACCAACCCCCTCCCCCCCCCCACCCACCACCACCCCCCCCCCCCCTCACTGACTCACCACCGCTCCCCTCTTATAAATTTGTCCTTGTATGTAATTCAAATACGTTCAACATATTTGATTTAACGATCATCTCTGTACATTACCTACTCAAATTAATTAATAAGTTTGTTTTGAAGTTTAATTATTTTAAAATTTTGATTAAAAAAAAAAAAAAAAAATAGGTACAAATGGAAAGTGTGAATGCAAATGACTACCTATTGTACATAATATATCATGTTTTTTGTATACTTCAGACATAACTATGTGTACTTCTCCCCTCTTTTAGGAAGCCTAGACAAACCTTTGAAGCCAATGTTGTTAATATAAAGTTCACTACAACTCATAACTTTTATTTATCATAGACAAATATTGTCCCCTTTTCAATTTTATTATTTAGAAATAGCAACTACCCATTGTACATAACATATCATGTTTTCCTGTATACTTCATATATAACTATTTGTACTTCCCTCCCCCCCCCCCCCCCTTTAGGAAGCCTAGACCAACCTTCGAAGCCAAATTTTGTTAATATAAAGCTTACTATAACTCAGCACTTTATTTATTATAGCCAAATATTGTCCCAATTGTAACTTAAAATTTTCAGAAATAACAAATTACTTTTGGCCCATGAAATAACCCTCCCCCCCCCTATAAAATACATATTTTATTCTGTAAATAACATGTAAAAAATTTTGAGAATGAAAGTTTCAGGAATAGTTTATATTGTAAATCTGCACCAGTCTTCTTATGTCGCATGATGAACGTAGTAAAAATCAGCTACTGCCACCACTCATTGGCTGGGCGCGCTGAAACTCAAATCTACAACACTGAGACGTTAAAAAAAAAAAAAAAAAAAGAACTGTAGCTTCAACAGTTGTCATCATGGAGAGGTGTATTCGGAATTTGTCATTTAAGGTAAACTGTGCATTTAAGGTAAACTGTGCGAATGTAAAAAAAATAAGAGTGCTATCCAGTCCTATCCTGCTACAGCATGGTGCACACAAGCCAAATTTGGATTCAGAGGACAGATATTGTGAACTCTACCTCGAGTCAAAGGATCTACCAACCACTCATATTTGCACATTCAGCAACACCAAACGAAACAAAACACTGAATTTGGAATTTCAAATAGGAGACATTGTTAAACTGCAAAGCCTTGGTTGTGGGACCATTACAGTTACTGGAAAATATATTGAACCAGTCCAACAGTATGCAGGTTGCATAATTACAAGTAAACCGGCATTTCATAGAAAACTCATGGTACCTGAGGCCAGACCGGTGACTAAAACAAAAGGACAAACATTTTATAGGGACCACGTAGTTGGTAATGGGGCGGTTGCCCGAAGGGGGTGTGAGGTGGTAGTTTATTTCTGTGGATGTGTTGATGGTGCAATCAAACCCTTTTTTTAAACTATAAGGAAAAGCCTTTTAGTTTTATACTTGGCTCTCATGAGCTTGTTGAAGGCTTGGAGGAAGGTTTACTAGGGCTTAAGGTTGGAGGAACCAGAGTTCTCACAATACCACCCATAGAGGGCTTTGGTAAAGATGGAGTACCAGATTTAGGCATACCCGGAAACGTAGATGAAATCCTGGGCCCAATTCTTTTCAGCTACAACGAATTCAATTACCCTAATAATCGAGATGCCCGAAGAAGAGAGCCCAGATATGTTCTCCAGCCAACCAACACCAAGCACAACCATGCAAGTGAAAATTTAAACGAATGGCCATCCAAATCTTCGAGGGCACATCATCCGAAAACTGATAAGTCCACAACAGATTCTGCTGATGAATTACTGCAGAAGTGACACGTGGTTCTTCTCATCAGACGCCTTCAACGTAGCCACGATGGATAATACAAGTAAACAGTATGGGCCCTACACACTGCAGTTTTCAATCTACCACAAAGATAGAATCAATGGCACACTTAGGTGGGTCTCACCAGGCCTAGAGAATGATGCCCTGCTAAAGGCTCTCAGAATAATAAGCAAAAAAGAACCAATAGTAAACAGTATCCCATACACAAACAACCGCAGCTTCACCATTTTTTCCGACACTCCGGCTACTATACCACATTACATCAACTATAAAAACAAACCCATTAACATCCTCGTGTCCATACCTGGAAGACGACAAGCCTGCCAATCATGTGGTTCATTTCAACACAACACTGGACAAGTAAATGTCACCAGAGAGATCATGTTCATGCAACCTATCCACACAGCTAGCTCCTGGCTATACAGGAGTGGACTGTTGTGGAAGGAAGACTATTAAACGCCAAGCGGCAAAAAAAAAAAAAAGTATTCGTTTAAAATACTGATAATAAATCCATATAGACGTCTACCTATCTAGCTAGATTAAGATAGATTCTAGGATCTATATACGTCTAGATCTAAACCAAAACGCCTAGAGATAACAAGGCAAAAAAAGCAAAGCACTCCGATAGCGACAAGGGGAGAGGGAAGAAGGTGCTGCTGAGTCCCCCGATGTGGGAGGAGGAAAGGGGAAAGGACGTTGAGTTTCAACAGGCAGCCCAGGAGGAAAGGGGAAAGGACATGGAGTTTCAACAGACAGCCCAGGAGGAAAGGGGAAAGGACATGGAGTTTCAACAGATAGCCCAGGAGGAAAGGGGAAGGACATGGAGTTTCAACAGACAGCCCAGGAGGAAAGGGGAAAGAACGTGGAGTTTCAACAGACAGCCCAAGAGGCAAGGGGAGAGGTCAAGGAGATGATCTTGAGAGCCCAGGAGGAGCACATGCAACTGATGAATCTTCAGATGAAGAAAGTGACTTCAATGTACTCAAAGATTTTTTCGATGAGTTTCAACATTACTGCGCAAGTATAAAAAAAACCGCATGCACACCTTCAGGATGAGATGGCATCAAAAGAGTCTAGTTTCGAGGCACTGCAATATGTTTTTGGTACTTTGAATGGGTGTGCTCAGACCCTAAACAAAAAGTAAGGATTAAAAATATTGCTCTTGAAAAAAAAAAAAGTATTCGTTTAAAATAAAAGACGCACAGATTAAAAAGATTAAAGTGCTAAGCAGCCCTATCATGTTACAACATGCTGCCTACAAACAGAGTTCTGTTTCAGAAGATCAAGTCTGCGAATTGTATTTAGAGTCAAAAGACTTACCAATTACCCACTTATGCACACTTAGCAACCTCAAAACAAAAAAACGCTAAACTTAGAATTCAAGTTTGGGGAAATAGTCAAACTTTAAAGTCTTGGACCTGGTACCATTACCATTACTGGTAAACACCTGCAAGGGGTACAAAAGTATAATGAGATCATTCAGTAATAAATTAAAGAAGTTTAGACCGTACACGGACCTCGTGTTGGTTTATTGTCTACCGTATTCAACTGTCGACCAGTCTGTATCTCGCATCAACCCCAAAAACAGTACACAAACATGGTTCTCTGTCTGTCGATGTTGAGCATGTGGATAAGATTCGTACTCACTGTCGTGCATATACTTCCAATGGAGAGACTGCCAACTGAAGCTGTATGGGCGGGAAAGTCAACATGGCCAATCTGCCTCCACTCCCACATGAGCTTCAGCGTCTGTTCAGCATTGAAGAGCCTGAAGCCAGGGTGTTTAGGAAAAACATAACTGCCTGTTCCAGATCTTTGGTGCCAAAGAAATACTCTATCAGAAGCATGGTTGGAACCCATCTACCAACCATGGACAAGTTCACCATTTTATAGGTTCCCTAATTCCAGAACCTCATAAACAAGTAGTTTCTCAAATTTTACATTTTATATAAGACCAACAAAACAGCGCCGAATTTAAAATGGCCATATTAGAAAACAGGGGGATTCAATGTGGTATTGTAGAGTCGTTATAGAGCGTTATTAGAACATATAACCCGTACATAAGGACTCTAATTCTTGCAAAAGAGCAAATTTAAGATATCCTTAAAGCTGGGATTGTTAATGACCCCAACAGACAGGACATTCTTGGGATATGAAAGGAGGTATTATGTGCAGACCTCAATGAGGTGGTAGTTCTCTTAGAAATGAACAATTAAGTAACGGCATGTAGCATAGAAAGAAGTGGCAGCATTCAAATAATATTCGAATCACACACAGCTCACATTTACAGTTCGTAATTTGTTTTTCCATGAGGTGAAGATGAATCAATTAGATCTAACAAAGAAAAAGAAGCTAACAGCTATGCAGTACCATTCTTACTGCATAATGAATCACGAACATGAATTCAAGCACATACTCTGGGGAAGATGACTTTTCCCGCAGTATCTAGTCCATATGGCTGCGAAAATGAAAGGTGAATGTCTGAGCTTTGAAAAAAAAAAATAAGATTATCAACTTCAAAAGGCATTACAGATTCGCCGAATGATAACTTACTTGTATTGTACCCTGATTGTGTGTGTTGTGTGCTGGTACAAAAGGTACCCTTTTTTGTGATATTAAGTGCTTTGACCATAGGGAGGTTTGACCATAGGTGCTTTGACCACAGCGGAGCTTTAACAATAGGTGGTTCGACCATAGTTTGCCCAAAGCGGGGCTTTGACCATAGATTGGCTTTGATCATAAGGGGTTGACAACAGTGGGGCTTTAGCCATAGGTGGTTTGACCGTATAAATAAATTAGTTTTTTCCCCACTATGTATTGGTTTTCTAAAGGGAAGTAACTGTGTTTTCCTAATTTATCAAGGGAAGTAATAAGTGCCAAAGGACTAAATGTAAATAATTTTCAGACATAATTAGAATTTTTGTTAAAGATGATATTTAAAATTTTGTTTAATGAACACAGTTTTCACACACAGTTTGGCCTCAACTTCGATACCGCAGCGTTTACGGTAGGCCTAGACCTCTATACTCGACCTATAGGCTAACGGCTGGTACAAATAAATAAGCAAATCTAACATCTATTAGCTCGAGAGATCTTTTATAAGTTCTTTTTCCAGACCTCAAGACACATCAGAAATGGCGCCAACGAAAAGAACCTCCAGAGGAGTGATCAGCATGCAGCAGGCTGCAGCTGCCCTGAACCCAGATATCTTGTCATCTATGGAGAATGCTGCAACTATAATTGCAGAAAGCAACAAGGCTTTACATGATGCTCTCTCTGCCTATACAGAACAAAAAGAATAAGGACCTTGACCTTGTGGGATAGTTATCCCCAGTATTTTTTTAAACAAGGACCTTGTGGTATGCTCTGTCTGCCTATACAGAACAAAAAGAATAAGGAACTTGTGGGATAGTTATCCCCAGTATATTTGGAAATAAGGACCTTGTGGTATCTTTTTAAAATTACTGAAATGAAGTAAAAACAATGTTTTATCTTTTACCATTTTTTAAAAATCTACATTCATTTACATTTTTATCTGTCCTAATTAGAAGTAAGTTAAATTATTTTAGAAAATTAAATTTAGTAATTTTTTTTGATTATGCTTGCAATTGTTTAATTTTTTTAAACGACAATAAAAATGTAGGAGTGATCAGAGTCCCAACGACCTCAAAAAAATAACTCACGACTCCGACGAACTACGGCGCGAAAGTGCAGATCTAGTTCCAGACCCCGGTCCGTGGTAAAATGGCTCGATGACAGGCGGCCAGATGTAGTTGCTGCAAGCACCCAAAAGGCATCCTTGAAGATTGACACCGAATGGCTGCCCTCATTAGCCAGAAGAAAAGCCGACCCAGAAGTCAATAAATCCTCCATGGATGCTGTTATGGTCACCGAAGCTATTAGAGTCGTAACGGAAGTTCTGGGACGTTCAAGAGAAGAGGCTGCTGAAACAATCAAAAGCTTCGACGACGACAAGTACGGTCCATCTTGGCAGTGTGTCGTAGGTACGGCCTACGATGTAGCGTTGTCTCATGAGAACTCTCTGTTCATACCCCTGATAATCAACAAAACTGGTGCAACTATATGGCGTTCTGGGATGATAATTTGAGATGTTGCCCATTTATCAAGCTAACAACCTGATGTCTTACGCAAGAAATTAATTCATACAACATTATACTTGGTCTTTGAGATGTTGCCCATTTATCAAGCTAACAACCTGATGTCTTACGCAAGAAATTAATTCATACAACATTATACTTGGTCTACTTGTGTAACATCCAGCTTTTTTACCATCAGTTAAAATATTGATAAATACTGTCTTATATTGTTTTTGCTTTTAAAATGTTACAGTAAACACATTATGTAAATATCATTAAAGTTAATTTTTTAGGAAATATTGCAGCATACAAGTATTGTTTGCATGGTAATTTTTTTTTTAAAATTCAATCTGTATCAATGTCATTTTAAAAAGGGTGTAGGACAAAAGGCCGACATCCAAAAGGCCGACAAGACAAAAGGCCGACACGGACAAAAGGCCGACATGGACAAAAGGCCGACAAGACAAAAGGCCGACAGCCAAAAGGCCGACAGGACATAAGGCCGACAGCCATAAGGCAGACATCCAAAAGGCCGACAAGACATAAGGCCGACAGGACATAAGGCCGACAGCCATAAGGCCGACTGGACATAAGGCCGACAGCCATAAGGCAGACAAGTATAAAAAATACTAATATCGCAAAATATATGTTACTGCATAGCTGCTATCTTGACAGCCATCAAAATACGGCATGAAATAAGGTGAAACGTCCAAGAGAAGAGACTATTCTAGTTGCTACCCATATAAGGTGAACCATCCGATCCAAGCGACTGAAGATTACGTGAGTGTCTTAAACACAAAGGATCAACACCTAATTTTTGCGAAATGCGGTCACTACTGTCTTTTATTGCTCCTTCTATGTCAACGAGGTGAGACAATCATCAAAGAACCAAGTCAAAAGCCGTCGCATCATCGCCCACATGCAACAAGGTAGAACGCCAAGAGAACATTCTAGTTGCGAACAAGGTGAACAATGGGGTCCGTGCGACTGGAGATGACGGGAGTGTACAAAGGATAACCAGAAAGGTGGTGTTACCACCATATTTCTCAAAGAAATCAAAGAAACCAAATAAAGTAGAACGATCACGTGCTTTGACTGAACTACATGTTAAATACCGACAAACCGTTGAATTATATTTTAGTATCGTTCATTGCGGGGGCGCGAACTGCACCTGGAGGCACCATGTTTTAAAACATTCAGCTTTTATAGTGTAGATTATATTTGTGCCCTTGGATTTGTTCATATTTTTTTCAACTACACTTGAATTTTTATGTGGCATAGCATACAATTTGTCATACTAGGCCCTATTTTTTTTCTATTTTGTAATATACCTTTATCATTATGTAACTGGTTTTCAATAAAAATTAAACATGTGCGTAATTGTAGTTTGTTGTTTCATAAAACTTGTCGGCCTTTTGGCAGTCGGCCTTTTGGCAGTCGGCCTTTTGTCTTGTCGGCCTTTTGTCTTGTCGGCCTTATGGCTGTCGGCCTTTTGGCTGTCGGCCTTTTGTCTTGTCGGCCTTTTGTCTTGTCGGCCTTCTGGATGTCGGCCTTTTGGCTGTCGGCCTTTTGTCTTGTCGGCCTTTTGTCCATGTCGGCCTTTTGTCCGTGTCGGCCTTTTGTCCATGTCGGCCTTTTGTCCGGATCCCTTTTAAAAATGCTAAATTTTAAAATAAATTCAAATATATAATCACTCTAGTTCATCATATATGACATGCTAACAATAAATACTAACGTTTTGGTAATATAGGCCTACTCTAAAGAAACGTGTTTTTAAGTGATACCGGTTAGGTTTTCATAGCACAAAAGCAAACATTCATTTATCTGATTTAGGAATTGCCATATCAATAACTTGCAAATTATTTTGTGAAGCATGTTGCATAATAAACAGCACATTATCTTGTAAAAAAAATTTATATATATATATATATATATATATATATATATATATATATATATATATATATATATATATATATATATATATATATATATATATATATATATATATATATACTACTCACACATGTAACTAGATCAACTTGATCATGTTGATAAGCTTCAGATTGACTGCGGATAACGTCAAAAAGGTGACTTTGAACTTTATATTAAGACAAAAGACTACACATTTCTGTACGTTGACCAGCAGAGAGACAAATAGGGTTCTGAATGTAGATGATCCCCCTTGGTCAAGAGACCCGGGGAGGAGCCATAATTATGAAGCCTGTGACAAAGCCTAACAGTCATTGCCATAAAAGTGAAAAATAAATAATTACATAAGAAAAAAAATATACTAGACTGCTGTACAATTCCTTAAAATGGATCCCGAGGTTCTAATGTTAGCAGCTAGTAATGAGCTCGAAAGAGATTCTTCACCCCAACGAAGGAAAGGAGAGAGAGAAGAAGAAGACTTGGAGATAATAGCAGTAACAGAAGATGCCAAAAAAAGAGGAAAACAAAAAGGACGCGAGGACTTCTTGTGCCGAGTTACAAAAGTTGCAACAAGTCATTCAAGACCAAAGTACATTGATTAAATTGTTGCTAAATCATGGTGAAAGTGCAAGCAGTAAAACGGTTTAAGTCCTGAAAACACGCATCCAACTCCCAGCCAGCCTGGACCAAGTAAAACAGTTGTAAATCCTGAAAACATGGAACAAAATAAAAAGCGGTCGAGGCGAAGAAGAAGAAAAACCTCTGAGACGCTAGTGGAGCCAAAAAAGTTTTTGTAGAGCCGCCAACCAACAAAACAGTTTCAAATGCTATTAGTGCAACTGTGAATTTTGACACGGAGCAAATGTCTGCATTTCTGACGAGCCTCATCAACAAGTAATTTATAAATTCAATTTTTTGTAAAATAAAAATGTAATGTAAAAAATATAAAATAAAAAGTAATGCGGTGAATGTGAACAATATTTTACTGAACTCCCCAAAAAGAGAGCTTGATTGGATTACAAGAACCAAGCACCTTGCTTAAACTGTACAATGACAAGGCAGCTATAGCGGAGGATAGCTAGCTGAATTTAAAGCTTGATGTTACAATTAGTAAAGCATTTCTGCAGTTGTTAGAAAACTTATAAATGAACAAGATTCCCCATTGATTAATACTGAAGACAGGGAATTAAAACTGTCAGTAAAAAATCTGTCTCCGTGCATTAGTACAATCTTGTCTGTCCTATGTGACAACAGTACAAGACTAAGGCCGGTGGTAAAGGAACAATTGGTTGCTGCAATAGACATGATTTTACGATTGAACCTGGATGAAGTTGAGGATATGACAATGGTCAAAAATATAATTAAATATTGCCCTCAAGATTTAGCCGATAGATTGCTGATAGATTTGTTAAGACAAGTAATAACAGAAAAAGCAGTGGCTTTAAACCCTATCCTGGCTAAAGTCCCCATAATCCAGATTATATGATCTGTCACAAAAGGCTGACATAAACATAGTCAAAACTTTACTTACAAATCCAGATGGAGCTGAAATACCACAGCAACTGTGCAATAAGCTTTAGAACATTACGGCTATAGAACAGAGAGAACATATTTGAACTTGTTTTTCTTAGCGTGCTCCTCTGTCTGTCGATTGTGAGCATATGGATAAGATTCGTGCTCACTGTCGTGCATATATTTCCAATGGAGAGATTGCCAACTGAAGCTGTATGGGCGGGAAAGTCAATATGGCCAATCTGCCTCCACTCCCACATGAGCTTCAACGTTCGTTCAGCATTGACCAGCCTGAAGCCTTGGGAGTTAAGGAAAAACATAACTGCCTGTTCCAGATCTTGGTGCCAGAGAAATATTCTCTTAGAAGCATCGTTGGAACCCATCTACCAACCATGGACAAATTCACCATTTTATAGGTTCCCTAATTACAGAATCTCGTAAACTAGTAGTTTCTCAAAATTGACATCTTATATGAGACCAACAAAACAGCGCCCAACTTAAAATGGGCATATTAGAAAACAGGAGGATTCAATGTGGTTTTGTAGAGTTATTAGAGAGCGTTATTAGAACATATAACCCGTACATACGGTCTCTAACGCTAGCAAAAGAGCAAATTTAAGATATCCTTGAAGCTGGGATTGTTATTGACCCCAACAGACAGGACATCCTTGGGATATGAAAGGAGGTATTATGTGCAGACCGTCAATGAGGTGGTAGTTCTCTTAGAAATGAACAATTAAGTAACGGCATGTAGCATAGAAAGAAGTGGCAGCATTTAAATAATATTCGAATCACACACAGCTCATATTTGCAGTTCGTAATTTGTTTTTCCATGAGGTGAAGATGGGTCAATTAGATCTAACAAAGAAAAAGAAGCTAACAGCTATGCGGTACTATTCTTATCCCATAATGAATCACGAACATGAATTCAACCACATACTCGGGGGAAGATGACTTTTCCAGCAATATGTAGTCCAAATGGCGGCAAAAATGCACATTCAGCAACACCAAACGAAACAAAACACTGAATTTGGAATTTCAAATAGGAGACATTGTTAAACTGCAAAGCCTTGGTTGTGGGACCATTACAGTTACTGGAAAATATATTGAACCAGTCCAACAGTACGCAGGTTGCATAATTACAAGTAAACCGGCAGTTCATAGAAAACTCATGGTACCTGAGGCCAGACCGGTGACTAAAACAAAAGGACAAATTTTATAGGGACCACGTAGTTGGTAATGGGGCGGTTGCCCAAAGGGGGTGTGAGGTGGTAGTTTATTTGCAAGGACGGGTTTAAGTACGTGGACATACACAAGCACTATATAGACCAACATCCCGATGAAACAATGTACACATGCCATACTTGCAATGTACTCCTCCCTCTGGAGGGTATAAAGGTACATACAGGGAATCACCATCCATGAGCTGGATAAATCGCCCAACATAGAATCTTCCAAGGAAAATAAATTAAACTGCACATGTTAGAGGTTTTGTATAAGGAAACTTAAATACATGACGTTTTAAAATTAAGAAAATGACACTGTAAATTTTGTTTAATGAAATACT